AGATGGATGATAACTAGTTTGTATAAGTACTAGAAGTGCTATCTATGCATCTAATTACATGTACTGTTATAACTAGGCAAATATTGACATTTAAAAATATTTTACAAAAGTATGCACTAAAGATTATATAAATTATCGATAGCTATTTTAATTATTTATTTAGCTCAGAGGGCTAAAATGCTAAACTAGAATAATTACTTGACCAAAGCAATTCTTTAAACTATAGTGATCCCAGGGTAATTATTTATTTAAACTAGAGTAATTATCAGATCTGACCAGAATAATTATTTAAATGAGAGGTGCCTCTTATACTACTTTATTTTCGTATTTTCATCCATTTTCTATTGATTTAGAAACTAATAATCAAGCTAAATCTAATATTTACAGTAATGTACGAGAAAATGGATACTAATATCTGAATGGAACATCTAGATATCTCCAAAATTCAAAATGTTATGAAGTTATACTTCTAGAAAACTAAAATTCAAAATATAAAACCTTACGCCAGTTTAATACAACTAGCGAATCTATGCACATAGCAGAAGGTAGGGTAAATACGATCACTTAACTTTGAACCCTCGTCATTAAATTATACCTTTCGGTAAAAGTTTTATTGCAATAAAACAGTTCAACATAAATAACAGTAAGTAAAAAAAATAAAAACTTTATCTTCTAATAATTACAAAAGAAGTAAAACATTTTTACACTATTACCAAGTTGGGTAACGCCGTAAATATAGATTTGTCCTTGGTAAAATCTTTTTCGTTGGAAACTTCCACTAACAATACCTCATCACCACTAGATTCATCGCTGGAAATATTATGAACCGGTTTAGTCATAAATTTTTTAAACCTGAAGTTGATGGTTGCTTACATATTTCTAAGGTAGGTGCATTTTTGATTTCAGCCAAGTTTGTTACAATGTCTGCATTGTTGTCACTGCTGGTATAAATAAAATCTTCATCAACAAAAATGTTTCGGTTAAATGGGAGTATACCGGTAACTACAAACAACTTTGTTGTTGCCTTTTTAATTGTCGCGACTTTAGTGTAAGATCTTTTAAAAAGTTCTGGGATTTTTGATGGCTTAATTTCACATCAAGAGGTTGGAGAGGGGTGGGAGGTATGTGGCGGCAATGAAACAACTACCACTCTGTTTTTCTTGCAAAAATTATAAGCAGCCAATGACATTTGAGAAATATGATTGTTCATTATTATCAGCACTGGATTTTCTGGGCTGCAGTAGGTATATTGGGCAAAGTATTGCAGGTACTCGACGAACAATTATTCTTCGGTGATACATCGTGAAAATAAACGGGTGGAATATAAGAGCCAACACCACTCATTCCACAAACAGCCGTTATTGTTCGTCCACATTCTCCACTGGATATAAAGCCTAATCTTCTTTCAACTTTTACAGCTAATACATTTTGAGGCACAAGGACATTCGTAATACCGGTTTCATGTATATTGTACACTCGATCGGGAGAAAACTTCTAAAAAGTAACTTCCACTTTATTGAAAGCAAAAATTCTATTTATTGATGTGGGTTCCGCAAGGATATATCGTGGTGTCGTTGCAGGAAGCCATAATACCAATCCTACCAATCCAAGTCTTCAGTTTGGGAAAACGTTACAGGGTAAAAAAAATTTAAATTAAATTGGGCGCCAACCTACAAAATAAATTAAAATCTAAAACCCCTATAACAGTTTTTTCACCTTGTAGGTAGAGAGTGGAGAATTACATAAACACAGGTAAAATATAGATATATATTTCTCACAAATCCTGTCCTTGAAGGTGGACGGCTCGATGTCAATGAAGCAAGTTTGGCAACAAGGATTGTTGTTTGTGTAAGTAAAGAAAAATGTTCGTCGTGTCCAGTTGTTTGGTAAATCAACAGGAGCGCACATCAGTACACAAAAATTAGTAGAGCCTGGAGTCATCTTCGTGTGTTTCCTTTTGAACATTTAGACTGCCGACCCTTTTCATATAATCAACTGCGTCGCCTTCCCTCTCCTGGCTCGAGGGCAATAGACAACATAAAGGTCCGAATCGCGCAACTCGCAGCAAAATTTAAATTAAATAAGTCCAAAAGAAAGAAACGCAAATAAGGATTCAATGTAGAATTTACATCTAATTTATAAAACTCGTCCAGAACTAGTTTTTTATCTTCTAAGGTGAATTTTTTATTGCACTTTAGCCTGCAGCATTTTTTTTTTTGTTTATAAGATACATATGTTGATGATGTACTTTTATCGCAACATAAATAATATATTTTAAATTCTTGCTGATATAATTGAATTTGAAAAGGATGAGGCCTCAAAATAATTTTATGTTTTATTTTTTAATACAAAATCTTGTTTTTTTGCCAATAATTTTCCTTAGCTACCACATACCCTAGCTGATCTGATAAAAATAAATAAATCTTATATATAAAGATAAGTAATAAGACAATCACTACACAATACATAAGCTTCATCTTTTTCTCTAGCTAGTGCATGTTTTCTTTTTTCCACTCACTTTCATTTTTACCCTCTTCTTGCTAACTTTTTAATAATATCCTTGAAGCTTTTTCAAATCATAGATCGTGAAGTTATGAACTGCTCACTTAGTTTTATAATATAGGGACGACATATTTGATTTCGGGCACAATAACACGGATTGTAAGTTCATTGTGAAGATTTCATTTTTCGACAACTTGTCTTTAGCCTTTTCAAATCTCGTCTCATCTTTTAACACAATGTGATGATTAAACTCTATTTCATATAAATTGTTAGTTTCGAACGCAACGCAAACATCGCATTTGTCTTTCTTATGCCGATGAAGTGACAAATTCATTTAATCAAATCTTTTTGAAAACGTTACACGAGAAATAATAATAGTTTTATATTTTTCTTGCAAAACTCGTTCTGATACTCTTTAAATAGCTGAGCTTTGGACACCTAAATAGGTTCTATATATGATTTAGTCGAAATAGCGCGGCAATAGTGCGTCTCAAGTTTTGGCAGGAATTTGAAAAAATACTTTCAAATTCTCCATTTCAACATCCTTACGGTGTTCAACTTCATCTATATTTCTCCTAACATAAGAATAACGCACCCATTTTTTTCCGCCACCTCATACCTAATGTCTGTAAAAACATTTTTTTTACAAACGCGAATATGACTGCCACCATTTCTTAAATAGAACTCTGTAGATTTTGACCTCCTTGACACTTCTGGGCCTTTCTTTCTGGATGTAGATTTCACGTTTGTAAGTACAAATACTTTTTTCTGCCCACTACAGCTTCCACAATGTATCAAATATTGCTTTTCTATCATTTTCTAGTATAAATCTACATTTAAGTACAATCATTATTCTCACTTAGTTTGCAAAAGCAGGAAGGTGTGAGCTCTTGTTTGCCCTTTTTATGTCGCTTTTCCGTGATTCTTCTATTTTTTTCTTCCCATAATGTTCCAATCCCAACTCCCTCATTCGGCGATTTTGTGTTTCTTTTCCATCTCTCACAACACCTTAGTCATTTGCGTCTCCTCAAAATCCGATTATTCTTTCTCGGTTTCAATGTCATTTACATTTTCATGCTCCCCTTCAGTTTCGGCATTATAATGAAACTGGTTTTCAATTTCAGTCACCCGCTCGTACCCGTCTCGGCTCTGCTCGTTCGCGTCTCGACTCGGTCGGTACGTGAACTTGCGCTGTGGTGGTAATCAGCGTTATGGGGAGCTCCGGATCTCCCGTTCCAGTTGGCGCCTCTCTCGTCGACGATGTAGACGCCGCCATATCGGCTTGCTCGTCTTACCGCCATCTCGGAGCGTACCTTCTTCTGAGGATTTTCTTCCATTTGGACGTGTGTTTGATGTTCGCCCTCGTCCTCGTCGTGGTTGCTGCTAATGTGAGACAGCAACGGCGGATCCACCGTACATAGGCGGTAGTTTATTGCGCGTGCACGACAACCATCGGGCGCCACCGCCACTTCCCTCCGAGTCCCGGTGTTCGTTGCAGTTTTTGGCCTCTTGGCCACCGGCGACACCAGGGCGATTTTCGTACCCTGGGGGGTATATCGCTGCTACACGTATTAAAATCAACTTTTGCATTCTTATTTCCTTTATTTCTCTCATTACAATTTTATTGCTATCCATATTTAATATTAATGACGTCTACATTGGAGTATTATTTTTACTTTAATACCAGTCTTAACCTAGCGATTCCGTCATCCAGTTCACTTTCGATGTTTGTCGCGGTTGTGGCCTAGTTCGTTAAGTCGGTTATTCGTCACTCTCAATTGCTCGTTCACGCGAGAGATTTCCTCCTGTATCCCGTATGCTTCCTTTTGGGTCCTTGTGAACTCGCCTTCCGTCATGTCTCTCTCCTTTACCAAATTTTTCTTTATTTTTATGGCCTGTCTGAATATTGCCATATCGGTTTCTTGGCAGAACATACCTATTTCCGTATCGACATGTGTATGCTTCTCGGTGTCGTCGGCTATGATAATTGGGTTGTTCATATTTCCCGTGAACAAAGGTGCAACAAAGTATTTATCTAGTAGGAGGGGTGATGAAATATTTAAACACTGTCTATTTCCTATATAAACACAGGGTTATAGCTAACTCCTAAACAGTGGTTGTTCTCAATTTCTGTGAAATATATAAAATGTTGTGTGTAGTGTTTTTGCTATTTGTGGTAAGGGTGGTGTACACAATAGTCCCCACTAATGTAACAGATTATTTAACAGCATATGGCTATTTATCTAACAACACAACAGATATAACAAGCTTAGACTATTCTGACGCCTTATCAACATTTCAAAAATATGCTCATATAGACGCTAACGGAACTTTAAACAATGAAACAGAATTTATGATGTTAAAACCTCGGTGTGGCTTACCGGACATAGTGTCAGATTTTGTAGCAGCTTCCCAAGCATACATGGGAAAAAAGACGTTTAAATTGGTATTTTCAAGGATCCGCGGCAGGTATTCGGTTAGCGGAGAGGGCATTTAGGATGTGGTCTGTGTCAACTTTAACGTTCAAGAAAATACCTATTATTGACGAGGCGGATATTCTTATACATTACGCCCCACGTTCCCACAATAACCACTGGAAGTGTATGAAAGGAGGTTGTCAGTTCCCTTTTGAAAGTCCCGGAGTAAGATTGGCTCATGCATATTTTCCTATAATCAATGATAAGTGTAGAGAAATTCATTTGGATTTGGAGGAACGGTGGTATGAATGTTTAGAGCCGGGCCCTGCTGGTACAGTAGCTTTACTTCCTGTTCTTATGCATGAAATCGGATACACTTTAGGCTTGTCGCATACTACCGACGTTAATGCTATAATGTATGCCTGGTTCAAAACGGTCTATTCTCTTGGAGAAGACGATGTACATGGCATTCAATTTTTATATGGCGCTCCGTTAAGTACTACTACGCATACCCCGACCACCTCAATACTAAAAGTGGAGTCAATAAACCCCCCTACAACAACAAGTCCGTCACCTAGATTGTGTGACGTTAAGAAACCTGGAAAAATGTTGATAACATCTAATCACCATTTTTATATTTTCAACGGGGAGGTATTATGGGTCGTTGAGTTAAAAAACTATAGCTATGGACCAGCAGTTAGAATCTCGTCATATACGGTTATAACACCTATCGATTTTATTTATCAAAGGCCAAACGAGGAGTTTGTCGTTATTTCGGGTGTTTATTACTATATAGTAGAGTTTCCCAGCTTCCGCATCAAACATGGATACAAAAAGATCCCCCTAACATCGTTAGGGCTAAAAGACGTTGTTAAGGTACACGGTATAGTTAACACATATTCGGGTAGAACATATATTTTTTTATAATTATTATTACTATGCCGAAATCGATGAGTGTACATTTCAGCAGAAAAATTATGGTATGATTACCGAGCTGTTTCCGGGGATACCAGTAGGCTTCAATGGTGTTTTTAGATACACTAATGGAAACTTGTATTTCTTTATGGAAGACCTCTTATATCAATTTAACGGGTTTAAAGGAGCCCTTATACGAGCAGGTCCTTTTGACTTAAGCCTTTTCGGTATCTACTGCACCTCCGATATGCTGCAGCAAATTAGAGACCTTATAAAAACAATACATTGACGACCAAGGTTAACCACACCAGTAATTCAGTAAGCCGATAATACCGTACAAGAATCTTATTAAATCCCATACTATGAGGCCTATGTTTGTCACTTATAGTTCATCTTAAACACTGATATTTCGACTGATTAAAACTGTTCGAATCTTTTTCCGCACCACCCTTTTAAATAACCAGGCTATTATTTTATTATACAAGTATAAAACTACCCACCCAATTGTTTTATTATTGAAAAAGCTAATACATCTGGTAAAACCTGTATAAATATATGTTGATTTGGCTGTATTTAGTGCTGGGACAAAAAACAAAAAACAAAACAAAACATGAGCCTAAACATATACACGTTTATTATTCTGTGGTTATTCAGATACCACATAACCATGGCGTCTAAAATAAACATGTACATGTACATGTACATGGTACATGTCTTTGAAATTAGATATGTGTTTGTACCTGAAATACACTTTCTAACTCTTACGCGGATAAATTTAAAAGTACCTGCCGTCTAGTTATTTTTCTCCGAGGTTAAGTCCAAATTTATAGGTATTGTAATTTACAATATTCATATATTTGGAGATTCCTTAAAACTAACGAGTCCCCTTTGCCTTTCCTCAGTGGTAGGGCATGGAAAAGGTCCGAATGTATTAACCACGAAACTGTGTTCCGTCTTAATACGTTTGGAGTTATTTATTTCAGTTATTTGTTCATTAATATTCCTGAAATAGTTAAGGGATTAATTAGCTACGTGTGATTCCCAAATATCTGTTTATAAATATTTAGAGCACACCTGTATTCTCTTTATATTTAACAACGGTTGTAACCGGGCATTATAAGTTTTTATCCGAATTAATATACCCTAAAGCATTTATAATAAAATAGGTGGTGGTCTAGAACTACAGATGTCTTACGATCCTATACCTTAATCTTATTTGAGTTTGTAACATCAGGTTTTAGTGGCATTTACACAGGTGAATTAATATTATGTTTTATATGTTTAGCATAATTTATTTTGTCCGATGGGTTATTTTATAATAATTACGTTTTCACACCAATGTTTTCTAAATAGTACCCACGTCTTTTTTTTCTACAAACGCGGCTTTGTACATATTAGACTACCGGTTACCTTTCATTGTTCAACAAGAAACTGGTACGAGTTGTAAAACACTCTAAAACTAGTCATCATTAACAACTTAAATCATAATTTTCGACAATTATATAATTTACTATAGCCCCCTATATCTTAAATTTAAAAATAACCCTACAACGATGGCTGTGATTGATGGTATATAAATATATTGAAATTTTGTCTTACTGTTTGTTCATCAAGGAGGTGTAAAATATTTATTTAAGATAACTCTAACTATCACTAGATTTTTAACTTATCGCTCTACACCATACATTTATATATTTTATTCATGTCTCCATCTTAAATTTAACCACCGTAAGAAAGATCTAACTATCACTAACCCTTTTTTAAATCGTAGTTTTACTAATTTATACATTGCAGAACCTGTTGTAGTTTTCTATACTGTCTTAAGTTTAAATAATGGTCTTGAAAACTTTAATAAAAGTAGTTAAACTTGTTTAATAAATCTGCATTATATTAATCTGAAATTAATTTACACATTTTAAGTTTGAAATCATGCATTTACTATTAACGAACAATTCGGATCAATTAGTGTATATAACAATAGAATATTTCAATTAATACCCCTAATTACGAATATTCTTTTTACTAGATAACCCTCCAGAGGTCTATGACCTCTTACATAGATCGGTGCATGGTATATGCAGCGTCTCGTTCACCGCTACTATCAGGATGTGTCTGCCACTAATTACTGTTAGGTACCCTAAAGAGCCTTGATTCCCGAGCATGAGCGTAGGGGCATTTGGGGCGCGACTGTCTGGTCCTGTCTGGCCCAAGTGTCCCTATCCTTACTATAAAATATCAAATTTTATTCCAGTTATACTGCATAACATGTCGGGGTACGATGCCCACCTATTCGTGCGCGAACTGTGTTCGAATAAAGACAAATGTAATAGCCCAAAGTAAAGAGAAATATAATTCATTTACGAAATACCTTTACATGCACGATTATGTTGGAAATAACGGTAAAATAAAGAAGAGTTTTCTAAAGATGAGGTTTATCGACAGTTTTAAGTTTTTATCCACGTCTTTAGAAAATTTGGTTGCAAATTTAAACGATGATCAATTCGAAGAAACCGTTAAATATTTTCCAGATATCGAACGTTTCAACTTAATTAGGCAAAAAGGTGTATTTCCATACAGTTTCTTGACGGGTCTAGAAAAACTTAATGTTGAAAATTTACCGCGTAAAGAAAAATTTTATGATAAACTAAACGAAACACATATATCGGACACGGAGTACGAGAGAGCACGCCAAACATGGCAAATATTTAGTTGTAGGAATTTGGGTGATTATTCCGATATATATTTAAAATCAGACGTGCTTATATTATGTGATGTATTTGAGAACTTTCGAAAAATTTCCTTGAGTAAATATAAATTAGATCCAGCACAATATTATACGGCTCCTGGACTTGCTTGGTATGCTATGCTGAGACTAACAAAAATCGAGTTAGAACTTTTAACAGACATTACAATGATACAATTTTTCAAAAAAGGTATTCGAGGTGGAATAAGTCGATGTTCCGGGAGGAGACACGTTGTAAATAATACGTTTCTCCCAAATTATAATCCAAACGAGGCTTCATCTTTTATTACATATTTGGATGCTACGAATCTTTATGGGCACAGTATGTCGCAATGTTTACCAACCGGTGGATTTTCGTGGTTGACGGAAGAAGAAATTTTGAATTTTAACGTTATGGATCTTCCTGACGGAGGGCCTTACGGTTACGCGTTAGAAGTAGATATAGAATATCCTAAAGTAATACACGACTCACACGCAGATTTACCATTTTTGGCAGAGAATCACGGAACATATTCAGAGTACTTGATTGATGAGTCATTCAATCTTGTTCTCGAAAATTCGAGATAAAGTTCTTGAAAATTCCACAGCATTATGCAGTTGGTCACGCATGCTCAGTGTAGTGAATATGCAGTGGTGGGAGGGCTCGTAGACAACAAAAAGGGTAGCCTCACGAGGCGTCAATCAGTATACAGATCGACTGTAAGTGAGTAATAATAAGTAAGTGAAGTGTTAGCTATGGGTAGAACGAGTACTGTTCCGAGGAAGATGAAATCTTCAAGCTCCAGCAAAAACGGGGTTGGAGGGAAACCGGTGCCTAAAATAACACCTGAAGAGCGGCGTCATCATCAGCAGCAGCAGCTTGGCTGGCAGCAAACAGAATATTATACCACGGCAACGGGGACTATGTCTGGGTACACAACGGCGATGTCGATTGTAAGCAATATCCAGGACATCACCATCCCGGACGATGACATCATTGCTCAAGCGCTAGCGGACATCGGGGGTGTTCCGTCCACAGCACTGTCGCCGATAAGCGACACAGAGGACGACATAATTCAACCAAAGCCACCACCGGTTAAGGTACTAAAACGTCAGAGTCGTCCCCGTGCGCCACAAAAACCAAAGTCTAAGGGGAAGACTTCCCAGTTGTGGCAAATGCTGCAAAATTCTACAGCAACAGTTCCGCCACCGCAACCGCCAACATCGATTCCCCAACAAGAGGTACCCTCCATACCCCTGCCCCCGGTACCCACCATACACCTGCTCCCCATGCCCGACGAAGTTCCAGCGCCCGAGGAGACCCATCAAGACCCCAAGAAAACGAGATGGAGATTCCCTGTTCTCAAGACGGTGAGGCGGACGTCGTTTCTGCCTTCCGTCTTTACTGGGAGATGCTAGTCGGAGGGAGGAAGAAACGGACACGGAAGTGCGGGACATGAAAGAAACACTTGCTGCAAAACGGGAGCAAATAGAAAATAAAGTGCGAAAGAAGAGCGAAAGGAAAAAGACATTAAAACGGTTGACTGGGCGCATGAAAGTAAAACGAATGAATGAGTGATAGTTTTAAGATAGGTATTGTAAATAGATAAGTTAAAATATGTATAAATAGCTGTAAGATATAAATACCCATTGTATATGTAAATCGTAAAATATAAATTTTTTATACTTATATTTTATAAAATAAATTTAATTTCCTAGTTCATACTTGTTTAATTTTATACAAAAACAACTAAACCTTAAATTTTATAAAATACATGAAAATATAAGTTTAAAATAAAGTGGAAATTATTAAACACAATATAAAAAAATAATAATAAAACATAAAAAGAAAATACTATNATAAAAAAAATAATAAAACTGAAAAAGAAAATACTATGTCCGTTTTTTTTTAATACCTATAAATCTATTAAAAATACATAATTTTGCATAAAACGTATTAGAACACTATTTTTACTAGAATGTTGAATCAATAATGTTTAAAAAAATATGAATTAGCAATTAGTAAGTCTAATGAGTAAGCATCTGTGGTAGTCTTGGATTTATAACCATTAATTGCAACAAATCGAAATAATTATAATTTATGCTTTAAAATTTTCGAGAAAAAAATAATCGTCAATCATAAACGAAAAACACCAGAATATTTATACATTCATTGACGTAGTTGTTTTTAAAAATGTTTAATTGTTGTACGTTCTCAACGTTTTAGTAAACATTTGTAATAATCTATAATTTTCTTCAAAATTCTGTATATTCTCGAATTTTTTATAAAAAATCTCTTTAACATTCTATATACTTTTATTATCTCAAGGAACAACAGTTAAATGTCGATCAGAATACCATGCAGAGTGATTCATAGAATTTATATGTTTGAAAATAGTCAGAGATTTCGCGAATGTATTCTTTATAATTGGGGATTGTGGAGATTGCCCCACAAAAAAATAACAAAGTTTTAAATTTGGGCAGATCGATAAGGGGAAAGGGAAGAGAAAAAAGAACGAAAGGGATGGGGAGGGAAGAGAAAGAAAAAGGGGAAAGGGAGAGGAAGAAAAGGGGGGAAAGAAAAGGAGGTGGCAATTGGGGGGATGGTACTTGCCGGTACTACAGTTGACAAATTGTAGCTATGTAGATCGTTCTGGCATGTGACATGCCTTAGAATGCCGAACTTCCAAAGGAACATGTTTCTTGCACTTATTGATAGGTTTCGAAGACTCTACTGCTCCAATAAGTCAAATTTAGGCTTTTTGACTGATTTCGAAGTTGAAATAAAATAAAAGCGTTGACAATACAAACGTCAAGGAAATAGAAAAAGATTATATGCCACCCCTTGTGAGATTTTCCATCAACATGTGGGTATTGTATTCCCTAACCATTTCATGGCACGTCACTTGCTCAACAGTTTCGTCTCTTTCCCGAAACAGCATTCATTCTTGTAGGATTATGGTAGTTTCCAAGGAACAGCACTTCGGTCCATCCATTTCATCGCCAATAATCCATCTGTAGATACAAAAAAATCTACGTCACCTCGTTTCAAATTCTTGTCTCCTTTTAGCTCGGGGAAGTGTTTTCTTTCTTTGCAGAACGTACCATACGCATATATTCTGTCTGCTAGTAATGATCTCTGGAGCTCAACCGAATTGAAAAAATTATCAAAGAAAATATTATGATGTTTTTCTACCAAAACTACTAAGATCGTTCACTACCCGAAGCCCAAGCTCTTCTCAGTGCTATTTTCGGAAATCCTTCCGGCATATATTTGAAAATCGCACATAAATCCAGTTGAGTCAGCTCTAACCTAAACCTTATAACCCCGTTTTAAGGGTTTATTTGGTATATATTGACGGAGGGCACTTCGTCCTTTGAACTCTTTCATTGACTCGTCTATCGACTGAGATTCATGAGGACTGAGTGCAGAAAGAAATTGTTCACGAACCTTAGACAATAGAGGTCGAATTTTGTAGAGCTTATCATAATGTGGTTCATTTCTTCTGGGTTGTTCCGAATTGTTGTTGAGATGGAGATAGCAACCATGTGAATCTATCTCGCAAAATAACAGAGCTGATGAAATGATCTTGGAGTTCGTCTCTTGCTGACCAATAATCTCGGCACTTGTTTGATACCCATCAGTAGGTTTACTGCTAAGAAAATTTTTATTTCATCGTCTGTCGTTGGCGTTATTAGCTCTTTGAATGCAGTACATCTATTTTTTCTAGCGCAACGTAGCTGTAACGAACTTGGCTTCACAACTGCACATGGTGCACAGCTCGGACAATTTACTGTAGGCTGATCTCAAATAACTAAATTCACAGACGTTAGGCAACCAATTAAACATCACGGCTTCGTCGGAATACCAATAGGCAATTTAATTAATATAATGATGTATACCATGAGAGCTTGGCTTTATCCATTTTCCGAAATTTTCATGTTTCTCCCACTCGGCTTTATATTTACGTTCATATCTTTTAGGATGTATTATCATAGTGTTGTCCTCACAAAAGTGTTGTCCTCACTAATACCGTTAAAAAACGTGGAAATAATTAATAAGAACAAATAATAATAAGAACATTATTTTAGTCAAATAGCGTACATGCCAAGGTATTATTAGAAACAACAGAATCAAAATTAAGTAATAACAGAAAGATACATATGGCGAAAGAAAGCTAAAAGATCATAGTTTGATTTAATATAGGTATTATTAGTAAGTAAGATAGGTATAAAGAAATATCAATATCCAAATTAAAATTTTATATATCAGTAAATTATAATGTCACTGAAATGTCAGAAATAAAGATGGATTCACAAGTTGGAAAATAGTACACTGGAATTCAAATAAAAATATAGAATTAAGGAATATTTTGAAATGAAAGTTAAAATCTTTGTAAATAAACCAGAATTTGATTGTAAAATTGTA